TGACAAGAATCACTACCTTTTTGTGTTTCTAGTGACGACGTCCTCACGATCAACAACAGAAGACCTCTCCCGTGAAACTTACATCTTCTCCACCTCACAACCCTAACTCTATAGATCGATGATTGTTTATCTGACCATTGTTCCCACCTCTCTTTCACATACAACCGTCGATTTATGGGTATTAATTTCTTGGTGGGGATTTGGCTTCTGGGAAATCCAAGATAGGATGTAATTTTGTGAAAGCTTGTGTGTGTAAAACCTTAGTTCTTTAGATCGATGCTCATATATGATTTGGGTTTTTTTTTTGTCAATTTTGACTTTTAACTTTTTGATGTTTGATTTTTATGTTCTAAAATTCTGAAAAAGAACATAGGTTCGACTATTTGAAATTCCAAAAAAGAATACATGTTGTGATTTTTTGGATTTATTTTGATTTGGTGTTTGGTTTATTTTTTAGCATGATTTTTTTGGGATCGGGTGTTTATTTGTTTCCAGAAAAAGGTGTAGATGATGGTTGTCGATGGTAGAGGGTGGGTTAGGGTTAAAGAGTGAGGGGGATGAAGATGGGTCTCACTGATGGTTTTGTAGGTTATAGATTTTATTTCGGTTTCGGGTGGCAGTTGGCGATGGTAAATGGTGGTCGATGGTTGATGATAGCCTGGTGGTGGGAGTAATCGGAGTGCTAGCCTGAGTGGGATCATGAGTGGGAGTGCAGGTGGGTCCCATCTGCCAGTTATTTTATTTTCTTTAATTAAAAAAATATTAAAAAATAATTAAAAAAATGAAAAAAAATATTAAGGACATTATAGTCATTTCAGGGACGTCAAGGATGAACCATGCAATAAAACGAAACCAAAGGGACGGTCAGAGTGCAAAAAAAACATTAGGGACCAACCACACATTTTTGGCAAACCATAGGGAAAATTTCAGTAATTTGTTCATATATATATATATATATATATATATATATATATTAATATATATATATATATATATATATATATATATATATAAGGGGGGGGGGGGGGACAAATCAATAGAAAATGCATAAGGTTTGGAAACCCTAAAACTCAGAAAATCAATATATATATATATATATATATATATATATATATATATATATATATATATATATATATATATATATATATATATATATATATATAGGAGGGTTCAATTGAGAAACAAAAGGTGAGAATGGGGAACCATTCTCAGCCAATCATTTAATGAGCTTAAAAAACGCACGGTGGCAAACTTGTAAATAATATAAACACATTAATAAGTGGTGGCAAATTTGTAAATTACCTAAAAACATTAAACGGTTAGGGCACTTCAGTAATATCACCATACGTCAAATTTCGACAGAAACCCATCATTTCCCTCTTCGATACCCCATAACACAAAAACCATTTTCAGAAACATCGATAAGAAGAAAACCATTTGCAGAAGCATCGATAAGAAGAAAACCATTTGCGTAAGAAAAATGTCTTCGGATGAAAACATGAACGAGACCATTTCATCACTCTTGACAATGAAAGGTATCGGCGTTTTTTGTCCAATTTTTAACGATTTCTAATCATTTCTAAAAATTATCACTTCATTACTTGAAATTTTTCGTAATCTTCGTTCATTATTACTTGATTTAGAACTAAAAATATTGTTTTCACACTGTTCATTCTTCAAAAATAGGTTGTTTACTTCATTTTTTTGTGATAATTGTTCATTCTCGTAACCCTCCTTCGTTATTACTTGATTTACTTAAATTTTTTGAAAGAATCATCCATTATTAGTTGATATATAAACGATTTTACATCATCTCTTCATTTTTCATACTTATTCAAAACTATTCTGTCAAAATATAAACGTTACTTCACATTTCACTTATTTTTCCCTAATATTAACTATTTACACTTATAGAAACAACACCAACAGTGAAGCATACATATAAACCAAAAACAAGAACAAATCAAAAAGGTAGATCTGATTAACTTAGATGAGATTTCACTTAAAAACACAACAGAAAATGAACATACTGAAGATAATTTTATTTTGATATGTTTTGTTTACTTCTGAACACAAGCAAAACTAATATTCAAATATGCATACAACAAAAATGACTTATATATGTTCTATTCACATATGAATATAACAAAACATATTGATATGTGAATAAAAAAATGTGAATATATATGTTTTATTCAAATATTCATTTGTGAATATGTTTTGTTATATTCACATATGAATAGAACATAACTTGCTCTCATACACACATTATTCAAATGTGAATACAACAAAAATTACATATATATGTTCTATTCACATATGAATATAACAAAAAATATTCATATCTCAATAAAAAAATATGAATATATATGTTTTATTCAAATATTCATTTCTGAACATGTATCTTATATTCACATATGAATAGAACATAACTTGTTGTCATACATATATTATTCAAATGTGAATACAACCAAAATGACTTATATATGTTCTATTCAAATATGAATATAACAAAACATATTGATATGTGAATAAAAAAATGTGAATATATATGTTTTATTCACATATTCATTTGTGAATATGTATGTTATATTCACATATGAATAGAACACAACTTGCTGTCATACATACATTATTCAAATGCCAATACAACAAAAATGACTTATATATGTTTTATTCATATATGAATATAACAAAACATATTCATATGTGAATAAAAAAATATGAATATATATGTTCTATTCACATATGAATATAACAAAACATATTGATATGTGAATAAAAAAATGTGAATATATATGTTTTATTCAAATACTCGTTTGTGAATATGTTTTGTTATATTCACATATGAATAGAACATAACTTGCTGTCATACATACATTATTCAAATGTGAATACAACAAAGATGACTTATATATGTTCTATTCATATATGAATATAACAAAACATATTGATATGTGAATAAAAAAATGCGAATATATATGTTTTATTCAAATATTCATTTATGAATATGTTTTGTTATATTCGCATATGAATAGAACATAACTTGTTGTCATACATACATTATTCAAATGTGAGTATTATATATGTTCTATTCACATATGAATATAACAAAACATATTGATATGTGAATAAAAAAATGTGAATATATATGTTTTATTCACATATTCATTTGTGAATATGTATGTTATATTCACATATGAATATAACACAACTTGCTGTCATACATACATGATTCAAATGTCAATACAACAAAAATGACTTATATATGTTCTATTCATATATGAATATAACAAAACATATTCATATGTGAATAAAAAAAATATGAATATATATGTTCTATTCACATATGAATGTAACAAAACATATTGATATGTGAATAAAAAAATGCGAATATATATATGTTTTATTCAAATATTCATTTGTGAATATGTTTTGTTATATTCACATATGAATAGAACATAACTTGTTGTCATACATACATTATTCAAATGTGAATACAACAAAAATGACTTATATATGTTCTATTCACATATGAATATAACAAAAAATATTCATATGTCAATAAAAAAAATGTGAATATATATGTTTTATTCAAATATTCATTTCTTAACATGTATGTTATATTCACATATGAATAGAACATAACGTGCTGTCATATATACATTATTCAAATGTGAATACAACAAAAAGGACTTATATATGTTCTATTCACATATGAATATAACAAAAAATATTCATATGTCAATAAAAAAATGTGAATATATATGTTTTATTCAAATATTCATTTCTGAACATGTATCTTATATTCACATATGAATGGAACATAACTTGCTGTCATACATACATTATTCAAATGTGAATACAACAAAAATGACTTATATATGTTATATTCACATATGAATATAACAAAACATATTGATATGTGAATAAAAAAAATGTGAATATATATGTTTTATTCACATATTCATTTGTGAATATGTATTTTATTTATATTCACACATGAATAGAACACAACTTGATGTCATACATACATTATTCAGATGTCAATATAACAAAAATGACTTATATATGTTCTATTCATATATGAATATAACAAAACATATTTATATGTGAATAAAAAATATGAATATATATGTTTTATTCTAATATTCATTTGTGAATATCAAACTCATTTATCTTCTACTTACTATTTAATGAAGGTAAGAACACTAACATTTCCGATAAAGATTCACCAACAATGAGAGAAACAAGATCAATGCACAAAAATCAAAAAGGTATAAAATACATATCATATCTTTTAAATGAATATTCTATATTCGTTTATGAATATAATATATTTTCTTTGTAAAATGTATTTCAAAATTATTGATCTTCTACTCACTAATTCATGAAGGTAAGAAGATTTGTACTTCTGATAAAGACCCCACAACAATGATAGAAAAGGATTTGAAGAGGAAAAATGTGAAAGGTACAAAATTCCTATCATATCTAATATATGCATATATGAATAAAATTGTATATCTTAATTATATTTTTGTAATAAATAAATATTAATAAATCAACAAGCATATATCATATTCATATATCAATAACTTATTCAAATATTATATGTTTTCATTTCCCAGATAAAAAAGAAACAAAAACACCAAAGAAAATAAAACATCAAAGCAGAAAAAGTCCATCAAAAATGAAAACTCCTGAAAAACGAGAACTACATGATTCGGACTCTGATTTTGAATTAGTCGTCCATCAAAAAGGCAAAAAAAAGGAGTCACCAATCAAGAAAGACAAAAAAAAAACCAGTGGTAAAGGATATTTTCTCAATGAAAAATAAATGTTCACCAGAGTCATTACTATCTATAATCCTTGGGTTGAGCAAAGAACAAAAGGAATGTGTAAGATCTATGGGTTTTGGAGCTTTATTAAAAATGAAAATCACAGATATACCATAGAAGCTGGGATTTTATGTTCTTAAAAAATTTGATTTTGAGAGAATGGTGATAGATATTGAAGGAAAGGAACTGAAAGTAACAGCAGAGTCTGTTCATGACATGTTGGGCATACCAATTGGTGGAACCATACTTACACAACTGGATCAATGGCCTAAGGATGATACACGTTATGGTGAATGGAAGCAACAATTTAAAAAAGATTTAATTATCCGACTGAGTGCAATCAAAAATGTTATTGTTTCTACCACACAAGCTGATTTCAATTTCCAATTGAACTTCTTAGTTCTTTTTGTCAACATTTTTTGCGAGTCAACATCAATGGGAAGATGCAACCTGTTTCCTTTGAGTTATATTTCAAGAAAAACAGATATCAGCAATATAGACTGGTGCAGCTATGTTTTGGACTGTCTTGTCAGAACAAAGAACTCATACATACCATACTCAGATAACAGCTTCTTTGTTGGACCTTCAGCTTTCTTGGTGGTAAGTTATTATAATGTTTATACTCAATTTTTAATAATATTTATTATTCATAAACTAATAGCACATATTCATATATGAATAATAAAAATATACTTGTTCACACGTTATGCTTTACATTACTTATTCATATATGAATAAGTAAAAACTAATATTTACTTGTTCATATATGAATATCAATTAGTTATCATTTATGTGCAGTTGTTCTATGCTGATAACATCCACTCAGAAGCTTTAACGGTAACACGTAAACGTCCAACAATTTGTTATTGGAGTTCAGAGAAGATTAGATATCGAGAGACATTTGAACAAGAAAAAGGTAGATTTGGACTTGGAGAATTAAATGAAGAATTTGTTAATGAACAAGATGAAGGAGAGACAGATCTCGAAGACAGTGATTCTGATAAAGATGAAGATCATTCTGTTGAGGTAATTAGTTTGAACATGTTAATAATATATTATTACATTAAATTCTAATCATACTTCTTTTTATTACATAGGCATATGAATCAAAAATATCTAAAATGCTTAATAGTTTTGAGAGGATGAAGGAAAAGCTGAATTCAAAACTCAATGATGCGATAACAAAGTTCCCTGAAAAGGAAAATTTTAGGATTTTCAAATAAAAGATGACAAATACAATTGTTGAAGAAAAAATTGAAAGCACAACACTTTTTGAATTTCTAAGTAATGAAATTGGAGTTGAAAGTATCAATTTAACACCAATAATGGGTCAAAAAACAAATGATCAAAAAGAAAATGAAGATGGTGAAGAAAATCGTGAACAAGAAAATGATAATGATGGAAGTCAACCGGAAGTGGATTACTTGCTTGATTCAAATGAAGCAGAGAATGAAGGAATAAATAATGATGGAGATAAGAATCAAAAAGAAGGTGAAACTGAAGTAAAAGAGAAAGATGGAAAGAACAATGAAAATAACAAAGATGAAGAGAAAAAAATGATGATGCTGAAGAAACAAATAATCATGAAGAGACTATTCAACAAACTGAAAATGAAATTTTGTTGGATAAAGTTGTTCACAACATTGTGGATAATGTCATTGGAGTTGGAATTTCAAGTTTAAAATAGTAAAGAATATGAAATCTGGAATGACCCTGAAATGAAAACTATTTTGGATAATATTGATATAGGTAAATTTTGTCTTACTTTTATTTTAAAAAAATATAAAAATATTAATAAACAATAACAATTTTGTTTATTAAATTTTGACCAGGGTCACCAATTACTAGAAGTAAAAGTAATACTCTTGCAGAAAAGGAAAAATCAAAAGGTGTACATGAAGAAGGAAAAGAAGTTGAAAAAACGAACCTAGATGATACAGGTAAATGAATGATTTAAAATATATTACAATATTTATATTGATTTTTTTAATAACATTGTTTATTCATAAGTGAATAATACACTATATAAATCAGTAAAAAATAAAAAAATATTCATATATGATGTATATGTTTCAGGCAAAGAAAACTCTGAACATACAAATAAATAAGGAGCATAAGCTAAGAACACGAAAGATAGAGGTGAAGATAAACAAACAGAAATTGAGAAAAGAAATGCAGAAGATAAAGGTAAATATTTGAATCACTAATAAATGAATATAATAAATTTTATTATTCACAAATAAATAACACAATATACAAAAAAAAAATTAAAAAATATAATATTAATTATTTATAAATAATGATATGCATTACTTATTCATAAATGAATACATTACTTATTCACAAATGGATAACTTAATCAAATTTCTTTATATTTCAGGAAAGAAAAAGTCAGAAAATGAAAACAATGAAGGACAAAAAGCTTACAAAATAAAAGGGAATGAAGGAGGTAACAATTTGGAAAAACATTTCAAAATATAAAAATAATATTATAATTAACTTACAACTATTTACATGATAAATCTTCTGGCATGCAGATATTCATCCAAGTTTTAGTCTAGGTCTCAGTCAAGATTCAGATCAAACTTCAAGTAAAAAATCTAATGAATCTTCACAAAAAAAACCACTTACAAAGAAACAAATCAAAGACCACAATCAGAAAGTTGTTATCAGATGAGCAAACAAAAACGTTCTTAATCCAAAACCAATCTTTGTAGCAATTCCTACTGAAGTAGAACCATCAAAGCATGATCTGGATGAACCAAGAGAGAAGAAGTTTGCCGATGATTTCAAATCACCTTTCAAATGCAGAATAATAGACACAAAACCTAAACTGACACATCAGGAGAGTATTGTCTGTGAGTGGTTGTTCAACTTGCAAGGGAATATATCGCAAGTTACTTTACTTTATAGACATTCATATATGATTATTATATAGATAATAATGTATGACATTTTGATTATATATTTACATAGATGTGGTTGTCCAGACAAAATATGGTCAGGTAACAGAAAGAGCAGTTATGGAAAGTCTATATGCAAGCACATAGATTTTTGGAGAAGTTTTAGACACTTGGGCTGATTTACTTAACCACCAAGAACTGGAAAGGGATTTTGGAAATTCACCATACAGACTCTTCTTGAAAGTTGCAGTTTCTGTAAGTTTATGTTCTAACCTTAATTTCTTCTTTATTGATAAATGAATACACCAATATGATGTATTCATTTATGAATATTATGATTTTTTACAACTGAAATTCACATATGATTATACCAATATGATGTATTCTTTAATATAATTATGTATATTCAACTAAAATTCACATATCATTATGTATTCATCTTTGAATAAAAAAATCAAAAATAAATATATTTAGTATATACTTATGATTATTATAGCAACATGATGTATTCATTTATGATTAACAATTTACTAATTCTTTAAAATTATATTGGTTACAGACTGCTTATCTAACTTCAACATTGTCTGATGAAAGAAAATATGAAAAATTCAAGGAGAACTTTCATGACAGTACCGATGGGTACAAAAAAATCTTGAACATAAAAGATATTGACATGGTATGTTAATTAAACTTGTTTATATATATATATATATATATATATATATATATATATATATATATATATTTATCAACAAAATACTTACCATTATATACCTAAAAACATGTATTCTTTCTAGTTGTTAAAAGCAATCACATTTTTGTGATTGTCTTCAACTTAAAGAAACCATCAATTGAAATTCTGGACAACAGTGCAGTTGAGGGGGATTATGAAGGGAAATACAAAGTACTATTGAAACCTTTGGTATGTACCGAATTCACAACAGCATAAAAGAACCCATTTATTACATATCTAACTTTTATTTTATTTAATGATCAGAAAAATTTGTTTATGAGATACTTTAAAGAAATAAATCATCCAAGAGCAAATGCAATCTCAAAAGAAAGTATCACACCCCAACGACTTGAAATGTCATGGAGAACAGTTAAAAACAAAGTTGATTGTGGGGTCTTTGCAATGAGACATATGGAGACCTATATGGGACAACCACTCTCAAAGTGGAAACCAGGTCTTCATAAAGAAAGCGCAGTTCAACAAACTACTTTAGAGAAGCTCAGGCAAAGGTATGCACACCGAATGCTAACTTCTGAAATTAACATGTTGAAGGCTAAGGTGTTGGATCTTGCTGAAAAATATCAAAAAGTTGAATTCAAAGTGCGTACTGATCATGCATATAAGGCTATGCAAACAATTCAAAAAAGGTTAAAAGAATATTGATGATTGCTTGTGATGAAGTGTGATGCTATAGAACAGTTTCTGTTGAAGATGAATGAATTTGAAGTACACGTTTTAGATGGTTTGTTAAATGTTATTGAACAACGTTTAAATAGTTTGTGTAATGCTTATGAACATATTTTATAATCTTGTTATGAATGATTATGTAATAGAAACAAGTTTGCCTATTTCTGTCATTTTTTTATATTCAAATATTTTCAAATTTTATTTCTGTTTATTCATAAATGAATACGAATATGATATATTCATTTATGATTATATTCAAAGTAATATGTTAGTATAACAAAGTTTAGATATTAACATAAAAAGGTTCACATATGAATATAACTTATTTATTACTATAACAAATTTCACATATTTATATTCATTTATATTAGTTTACATACAACTTCAACATCTGTCTTGATTTTCAATCCCGCAGATGTATAATCACTCTCACTCTCAAATTCCTTCAACATCATCTGTTGTTTCTCATCAAACAAAGACAATTTATTTTGTCATCTTACATATTTGTATTCATTTATGAATATAACTTAGTTATTACTATATGAATATAACAAACTTCATATATGAATATACATATTTGTATTCATATATGGTATATACATTTCTCAATTTTATTTTAGTTAATTATAATTGAACACAAACATGTTATATTCATTTACCTTTAATATGTAAATAATAACATTTTCAATGATAAATGAATCCACATATTATTGATATGGTATTATTCATTTATGAATAATTTACCATATCAATATAACTTATTTTATAGTAATTTAAAAAACAAATATGAACATATCAACTTACCGTATCAATATAAATGTGTATTATTCATACATGAATATTATTGTTTATTGTTCTTATCTGCATATATTCATAAATGAATAAAACCAAAAAAAAAAAACTAAAAAATCCCTAACTGTCTTTTGCTGATTTATCAGCTCTAACTCTTTTTGGACAAGTACGTAAATTGTGTGGAACTCGTTTTCCACATCCTGAACACATTCTATTTTCTTTTTTAGAATTTTCATATGCTACTTCACCTGCACTTGGAATTCTTTTCTTGATTCCAGAACCTTTATTGCTTTGAACTTCAGGAACATGAATATTAATCTCTTGTGGAATAGGAATAGTAACACCCAAAAGCTTGCATACGACTTCACCATCTGTCTTGCTTTTCAATCCAGCAGATATATAATCACTCTCAAATTCCTTCAACAGTATTTGTTGTTTCTCAGCAAAAAAAATCAATTTCTTTTTGTCGTCTCTTACAATATCCAAACATGATTCAAAACTATAATATGAATCATTCACTAGCTTTACATTATCACAATCACCTTAATCGGATTGAAGAGAACTAAAACGATAATTTCTTGATATCACATCCTTTCTCCATCTTTTCAAAATGTAAATTTCAGGAATTTCTTTAACACCACATCTCATCATTATTGTAAAAGCATGTCTGCATAAAACACACATACGCTTAAAATGTTCACAACTACAATTTATTTCTTTCTCTTCAGCTTTTATTTCAACCTAATACAAAAACAAAATTTACACATTTACATTCATATAAGAATACTCATATCAACACTCATATATTCATATATTCATATATGAAAATACGAATATTCATATATTCACATATGAATATTCATATTCATATATGAATATTCATATATTCATATATGAATATTCTCATATTAATATATGAATATTATTACATTTTTCATAAAAAACTAGTAAATTACCTTAAATTCATTTTTAAATTCGATTTTACTGTTGTTGTGCTGCACAATGTAAACTTCTCAACCATCTTCAATACCAACATATGAGTATGTACAAAAAAAACATGCTTTATATATTTCTTTTTGCACCTCAAAAAATAATGTACTTGTATAAA